TTGGCCACAATATTAGGCACACTATCAAGTTGAAGCTTGTACCTGCCGAGCTGCCTTTATTAATCCAGGCACAGATTTAATAAGGTTAAAGGAAAACTTCTAAAAACATATATATTGGGTGAAGAATGACATAATAACATCAAAGAGTTGGTCCATAGTATTCAGCTGTAAATCCAGTGATAAAATTTGTATTCAATGAGAAACCAAGAGTGTTTAATGTGATTCAAAGCTATGAACTAAGAGCAGCATTATACCGCAGGAAAAAGTCATCAGAAAAGGTCCATAAGGGGACAAATATGGTTAATAAAAACTACACATGTAGACTGTAGTGTTTAAACAATCAGTTTGTCTAACAAAATCCAACATGGCAATCAATTTTCTAAATACTTTTAAAAATTGGTAATTTAATAAATGAATCTCAACCACATCCCTGCTGTTACACTCTGCTTGCCTCCATTTTGGGTCCCTCTTCCCCACCAGCCAGGCCTTTCAAGGCAAAATTAATTAATGCTTTTATTTCTATTTATATCTGATTCTGATCCTTCATTTGGTTGTTCAGTTGAGTTGAAAGCCTAAACAGTAGCTAAAAAGTTTCCTGTTTTTTAGTTAACAAAAGTGTCTCCCAGTGGGATTTTCTGTAGCGGATCAGAGAAGGTTTTTTTTCAATATTTCGATTATAAGAAGCGGTTACTTAAGCTACTATCAGAACTCCATGTTAATGACGTCTGACCTCTGTCTACAACAACAAACTTTCTTCCATACGACTGGATTTTTCTGGGAGGCCATTTTTACTAAATCCACAAGATGGTTGTGGTTTAAATTTAAAAAGCAGTTTATCAAATACTCACAGCACATCATTTACCACCAAACATCCACTTATCCACCTTTTTTTTCCACTCTGGTGCTCAGTACGTCAGATGCCTAAATGAACAAGGTTCCTGCCCTGTGAATGTGAAACCCAAACTAGAAACATCCATTGACGAACACTAGACATGACTGGCAGTTGAAAGAGTCTGTCAAACATTTTTCTTCTCGTTTTACCTTCTCTGTGGGCCTTGGTTCTGAATTCCATGTTATACAGTTAAAATAGCTTCAGAGGGAAGATGATTCCTGCTGCCAAATTATTTAAATGTTTGCTGCCTGTTTTGTGAGTACACTGTGATGATCCGTATCATTTAGCAGCAACTGTTGTTCTTTTTTTTTAATGATCATTGCTGATGTCTTTTCCTTCCAGGCATTGCTTTAACAAATCCCCCGACTGTTGCCAACCAGTAAACTGCTCGAGCTTGTTTATTTGAGGCGCTTTGAGACACTAATGATCAGCTAATGACATTTATTGGATCAAAATAATTTGGTTAAAAAAGGGCTGCTGATTTGTTTGGAACAGGTAAAACTGGCTTTTGAGCTCTTCTCAATTTCTGCAGTTTGGCACAGATCTTTGTTGAAATAAATAATGACAAAAGGAAATCTTTGTATCTGAAAATCCTCAAACTAAGGACCTTTCCCATGTGTTCTTTTTTGTTGTTGATGCTAATGATACGTATCTAAGGTGAAGTGCGGATAAAGAAAATGCACAAAGTAAATGTGGTATACAATACTTGATTGAAAAAGGATTTGCTTTTTTTAATAAAAATGTGAGCCAGGCCAAAGCAGCAGCCAACTATGCCCTCTCATACCACAAGCACACTCCTGTTGCTAAGGAAGCACAAAGGTAAGAAAAAGCCTGCAGGGCGTAAAATTGTTCCCTCTTACAGAGAAGTATTTCAGCCAGTATGACTATGGCAGACATCAGTCAACCATCTACTTAGGGAAATGCACCTTCATACAAACACATATAGGACTTCATAAAGCATTTTTCTAAAATGAATTTGGTTCATTCTCCATGCAAATTATCATCACTGACCTCAGCATCAAATCCAATTAAATTTAATATCAGCAATAACAATTCATAGCTCAAAGCTTCCCTCTTTCAATTAATTGTGAGTGCATTATCAGAACTAAGAGGCGAAGGTCACATTCACCGGTACTTGCCTCATATTTTATTCTGGAACAAACACTGTTCACACACAATTTAATTTTACATTACAAACTAAGTACTTTTGAAGTAATTTTGTTTTGAGGTTAAATATGAGAGTCGGAGACAGAGCACATGTATGTCCCAATCAGGATCAGAGATCATCCACGTCAAATAGACACAGCGACACACAGACGCCTGTCTGGTTGGCTGTGTGGCCTGTTTGAAAGTAGCTGTCAAAGGTAGGAATATAGGCTAAGATCAAAGATGATATCCCATCTAAATTTAACAGCAGAGAACCCTAGAAAACGTGTGTAAAAATTGTAAAGTATCAAAGGTAACATTTGCTGCTACCATTTTTAATGAGAAACAAAAATGTTTTTAGATCTACCGTTACAAATCTCGATAGAGAGTGTCTGTTACAAAAGTCTCTGATGGGGGAGTGAAATCAGATTCTAATCCATCTGCCCTTTCCCAATGAATTATGTCTAAAGCAGGGTGGGATTTATTTTGTGCATAAATAAGTTAACAGTATGGGCAAACATGTTATCAGAGAGTAATGCTTGCAACTACCGCTTTTTTAGCTCTACATCTGCATTCTAAAGGTTGTTTAATGCTGAGACCTGTTTAGCAAATAGGAGCCACTACTTGACATTTCATATCCTTACATGAGAAACAAAAAATGAGTGGAAAAACATCAGTCATTCAGCACACATGCAGTCAGAAATCCAGTAATTAAAGAAATTAAATCTTTCTTCTGAGAAAAAAAAAAGCAGTATGTCAAAATCTGTGCTCTCATGAAATGCCTCCAGCTCCTTAAAACATTTATACCTTTTGAACTTTTTGTCATATCACAACCACTAAATGTCTTTCACCAAAACATTGAAAGTAGTGGCGAACATTAGTCAAACAAGTAGCCTGGAGGTCCATGCAAACACTGGAGGAGCTGTGGTGAGCAACCGCTCAGGTGAGAGAATCTGTACACAGCACAGATCAACTGTGCTATGAACAACTCTGACCTTTATGGGGTAGAAATGTATAGAAAAATTTGCAGGTTGCAAAAGCGATGCATTGGATGTGGTAAACCTGGAAACAATGCAGTCCGATATCATCATTTGGTTGGGCGTGGCAGAGAAACATGACAAGTAACTCTAAACCTATTAACACAAGGTGGTGAGAGAATCATGTTGCAGGACCCAATCACAGAAAAGGAAACTTTTAAAAATAAATTTTCCATTGGAGGTTGAAACGCTCAAACAGAGCTCTATGAAATCTTATTTTATTCAGGTTAATACAGCGCTAGCGGCTTATTTTGGGGGGCTGATGATGAGGGGTACAAGAGAGGGGGGAGAGATATGTGGCAACGGACTACAGGTCAGATTCGAACCTGGGTTGGCCACATCGAGGACTATGGACTCCATATATGGGTCATGCGAGCAAATGACTGCGCCACCGGAAACATGGGGCCAAACACTTGGACTCTCTTGTACCTGGAACTGAAGTGGGTCTTCAAATTAATGACTCAAGAGCAAAGCAAACATAAATGCATGCCACACTTCTAATCAATCCAAGTTAACAGAATACTCATAAATTAATGATTATTACTATATAATATTTGTAATTCTGAAAGTTCAAGGTAATGAAGATTTCTGAGCTTTAGGGAGTAGAATTTTGCACAAATTCTAGTGGGTCAGATTCAGAACTTCGGGTATATTATAGAGCAGAGGTCACGGATTAGCGGACCAGGGTCCGGATTCAACCTGATTTAAAACATTTATAAATTACTGCATGTAATTAATAATAATAATATAATAATAAAGAACCTTTTTATCTCTGTTTATTCAAACTATTACCAAAAAAGGGTGGATCTGGCAGTGTCTAAACGTGAGTTGCGTCACTTCTGTTAATACGGTAAAGGCCTCCGGATCGGCCGGCACCAGGCTGCATGTAATACAAATTAGCCAATGAGCTGCTGCCAGTCTGGGTTGCTGCTGCTAGCTACTTTTAGACACAGCAGACGTTTAATATGTGCTTGAGAATGGCTTTGTCACCATTAAAACTCAGGTTTAAAAGCCTTGCAGCTCAGCCTAAAGCCCCCTTTCATTAAGCCAATAAAAAAAGAAAGGAAAAAAACACGGGTCAGTTCAGGCGTTTTATAAAAAAATTGAGTCAGGTAATTGTCTATATACCAAACTGAATGATTGTTCTCTACTTCAAAAACAATTTAGATTTTAAAATGAATAAAGTTCTATTTTTTTTATGTTTTTTATTAAAAATTTCGATGTATAACATGGATGCATTAACACCTGATTTTATTTAAATGTTAAATGCTGTTTAAAGAAACGGATTATAATAAAAAATGTCTCTGGACCTTTACTGGTTGTTAATTTTCTTTATCTGGACCACACTGATTTTTAATTGGTTACCCGTTAGATGTAAGATTTTAGAGAACTGCTGTTGCAGCTGCTATAAATGTGTTACAGGTCATACTGTAAACAATGGATTTTCAATTAAGGTTGATATGCAAGACATTTAAAGTTGAAATTTAAATTAAATAAATTTAATCAAAAGTGGAGATGGAAGATATAAAAATTACATTATTAAAACAACCCTGAATATTTTTTTTTTTGCATAGATTTAGTTTTTAATTAAAAAAATACTATTAAATAAGGTTCTTTAAAAGGTCTTGCAGTCAGAGAGTTGTGAAATGGAAATTCATTTTCTTTTAACTAAGCAAAACTAATACATTTTCCATCTGTGGTGCCAATTAACAGTCTAACACATAAGAAACGGAATCTCGGAAGCACAACAGAAATAGCACATTTTAAACACCCTTTCCAAACTATGGACAATGAACCTTAAAAAATAAAATAAAAAATCAAGGCAATCAACAAGTCAAAGTGTAATTTTTCACTGTTTTATTAAGAAAAAATGTCTCTAACCTGAGAACAGTGAGGCTGCTACACAGAGGGAGCTTATTTTTTTCTCTCTTACCATTAAAAAAAGCAAAGAAAATCAAAAAGAATCACACACAAACAACCTTTCATTTGTGAAGATCCACCTTCAATAGGAAATATTTAGCTCTTTACATTTCTGCTCTACTCTGAGTGAGGTCTTACATTAAAAGAAAAAAAAAATCCTACTCCACATCTATCATTCAACTTTGGCTGAGAGCCTTGTTTGATAAATGAGCCACCTGCACTATCTCCATCAGGTTTGTAAGTAGTAGTTGCAGCAAAACGGCACTTTCAAAGCACAAGCTGTTAACTTATGAAGTCTTCGATATTTCGGCTGCTTGATTTTATTTTTTTTTGCAAGGGATTTCAGTGTTGGTTTTGCTTTGCTGGATCCTGAGATGCTGATACCCGGTGGAGAAACGGCGCTTTAATGAGCAGCTCCAAGTCTTAGCTTTGTTCCCCCATTATCACTGCCATTGCCGTAAGCAAGAAAAAAAGCAACAAAAAAAATAATGTGTATTCATTTAGAAAAGAAAACTTGTCAACAATGTTAATATTGACTAGAATCGTTGATGTTCCCAGTTATTGTTCAGAAAATGGGAGTTTCCAGCTGAATCGTTGTTTTTCTTAGAGAACAAGTTGTGCTCAGCTAAAAAGAGTAACATGATTTCTGTATGCTTTTTTTTTTATAGCAGGCAGTCTTTTAATGCTGCTCCCCAGGGTGCCTCCCTCCCTGCAAGTTGAGCTCCATCTGAAGAGTTGCAAACCAAAATAGGGGCAAACATCTTGCAGTAAAGCAAATGGGGATTATTCCTGCAATGTTGAGAAACAGCTAAATCATAACTAATAAAAATGAAAAATAAAAAGACCCAACCCACGGTACCGGAAAATGGTTTGGCAATAGTTTGTACTGCATTGCTCTCCAGCTAACAGTCCAAAGTGCTCAGTTGGAAATTATCTACCCATTTTGCTGTTGTCATTTTTACTTAAATACCATTTAAACAATCGGAACTTTACAAGTGATTTGTTTTGCCTTTCTTCAATCACTCAAATGCCCAACATTTCAAGTATGCCCCTGGTCTTTTTTTATTTTTTTTCATAGCTCAAATCAAGCTTCAAGATTGCACACACTTCATGGTAATAAGTATGACGAAGGACCAGCATGGAGTTAATGAGTTATTGATTGTTGACTCCCAGACATAATCCGCTCTAACATTCTGTAACATCTGTATTAAAACATGAGAAGTCATATTTACATAAATCTGCCCGGAGGCGTCGGATCGCACGGCTGCTCATTTGTCTTTGGATGTAGGTAAAATGAGCGTGTCATAATATTCTTGTCTCTAGAATCGTGTTTATGCCAACTGACGTTTTCTGGCTTTAAAAAAAAAAAATAAAAAAATCAGACTGCTCCTCTGAGGTGGGGTGGGGGATGTTCAGCGTAACTGGTCTCCTTCAAGTCTTCTGTCAGCAAGCAGACTAATAAATTATATGCTAAAAACAACTTAATACAGAACTCAAAAACACAAGCAGGATAAAAGCAAGAACTATGACAAAATTAAGAATGGGGGAAGAACGGAAACTCACAAGGAACAAAACAAAACTCATAGTCCATTAGTGAGGCTACATAAATACTAATCACAGGAGAAGTGCAGCAGAGGTCCTGCTTCATAGCTAGTGCTGGTACAGCACTCCGACAGAGGTGAGGGGACATGTTCTTGGAGTACACTTCTACTGAGCTGCAATGGGTGGTTATCTCGATAGGACCGGAACAGTCAAGTGCAGCCACAAATGGCTGGTGAAGGGTTCGTGACCCGGAAGCTGGAGAAGGAGGCAATCACTAAAAACAGAGTGATTCTCCACAAGTCTTTTTCCAATCAGCTCGTCTGCTTTTGTCCGCCTCCCCTACAGCATCAGTGACACACTTTAAGTGGTTGGTGCTCCTTCCTGATGCTTTCGCTCGCCGTTACTGCGGTGGCGTCTCTCCGACCATCTCGATGCCGTGCTGCTGGAGCTGAGCTCGGAGTAACGCGTTCTCATTTTTCAGCTCCTCGATCTTAAAAGCAAAAAAGACAGAAATCTTATTATTCAACAAACAAAACGCAGTTGCAATTTCAAGAACTGAACTCATATAGGTTCGGTTAGACCTAGTCTAATTTTTCCGATCATTATTAGAACTCAAAATTACTTTTTTCAATTTTTGAGAAATGTTTTAATTTATGAAAAATAATAATTTAGGAAAGACCTGCAGCTGATACTTGAAAACACAAAGGGCATAGCTGAGGAAGCGGGCTATGTGTATAGTGCTGTGCTCATTGCCATTAATGACAACTTTGACAAAAGAAAATAATTGAGTTAAAATGAATCACAAGTAAAGTGGATAACTGCAGCCTTGATAGAACCCCTCTTAAAGCTTTGGTTAAAATTGACAAATTATAGGGTGATCTCAAAATCATTTCGTTACAACCTTGGGAAAAGCCTCTCCTGAATAAAAGACATCACCGTGTCGTAGATGAAATAAGGGAAAAAAAGAAGAAAAAAAAAAAGGCATTGTTGCTTAATGGTTTAAAATCCTCTTTTTAAATGAAGTCATTTTTTTCTCCTCGTTTACCGAGGTTCCACAGCCTGAAGGGGAAAAAAAAGGAGGGAAAGACAGTTTTCCAGAGTCAGCGATGATTTGGGCAGCCTTGTCTGTTGGTGTTGGTCCACTTTGTTCTATTGGGTCCAAAGTCTGTGAGGCTATTTAATTTCAGAGCACCGTATGATGCATTGACGAGCTTAATGCAGATTTTTATTTTATTTTCCAGCAGAAGCTGGCCCCAACAGACCCTTAGCGATCTAGCCGCTTTCCACTGCAGCTTAAATCAAATCATGCTTTGCTTTTTCCATACAGAACTACAGACTAATTTCCCTTCATGGGGCTTTGGTCCTACAACTGACCCAGTACTTTCCTTGCTGGGTGATTTGACGGGGCAGTGTAGCAAGGAGCAAAGATTGGTTAACTGCCTGGCTTCTCTATGATTAAGTCTGTCCATCCCGCAACATTTAAGCCATTTTTTTTCGGGTGTTACAGACAGAATGCGCATACACTTTTACAGTTGTTTACGTTGTCTAATTTCTTAAAAGCTTGATGAAACAGAAGAGGAGTAGCTAAGACCATTTAGAGGGATGATGCAGCCTCTTTTAAGCATTTTTGCTGAGGACAATTAGCGGGAGGTTAAGGCTACAATGCGCAGTGAATGCATGTACACCATGATCATAGCCAGACTGGCCAAAATAAAGTGTCTGTACACCAAAAGCAGGTGCGAGACAAGATTGAGATAATGAAGCTGGAGTACAAGAGGCTGAAGGACCATAGGGGATCAGAATGCTGGACGCGATTCTCGTACACATGCCCGCATACATGGTCGATGGAAGCCGCAAAAGCAGCGTCTGTGCTAGAGGCTGGTAGCAAGAACTCTCGGACGTGGACTGTGGTCAGAGTAAATGGCATGTTCTTAAATATATCCTACAGGAGGAGGAAAAGTTCATACTGAAACACGACATACTGTGCACCAACAGCATGTTGTGCTCTGGTAATTATTGCCTTCCAAATGCAGTGTTGTTTGCGTTTTGCGTTTTTTTTGGCAATAACGTCGCCTTGTTGCTCTGCATGATTGTCCCCGGGTAATGGAAAAAGAACATTACAAATTAGTCGGGATTCCTGTTAGCTGGGTAATACGAAGCCTGGGGCATTAAAGCCAGGAGCTCTCAGTGGAAAAGTGGCGTATAGTGACTATGCCATAACTGTGCTGAGTGGCTAGCAAAGATTTCTTGACCAAAACTCAACTGATTTTTTTAATGAAGTATTGTCAAGATAAGAGACTAATGATCCAAAGAGGTAGACAATCTTAAAGGCACTGAAAGCAACCCGGGTACCTTATGGCCTCAGCAGAACCACCGGCTGATTACTTCTATTGATAATGGTTCATTTATCAGGAGGCTAGAAAATATTTAATGTGCTAATATATTGATTCTAAAGTGTGTTTTTATCTAAGTTTTTTAAATAAACAAATGTTCCAAAATATAAAAATTAACAATAAATCTATGAAGAAGTTTGACTTTTTAAATTAAATTACTGAAATAAAGAAGATTCTACATGCTGTTCTAGACTACTGAGGAGCATCTGTAAATTTGACATGCAGTTTATCCGCCTAACCCTTTTATGCATTTGCAGAGTTAAACTGGCTTATGCTAATGTGAGCAGAGCTTTGTGGAATACCTGGGATTAGGGAAAATTCAAGCAGACCTTTTCAAAGACACCCCCTGTCCATGATCAACCACTCTGACTTTAAAGCTTCCCCAGCAAAGAACTGAGCGGAAGATATAGGGCTTCCAGCTCTGGAATAAAAGTATATTGCTGAATGCCTTGCAGGCTTTGGATTCAACGGGGAGACAGGCAGCAACAGAGGTCTAAAATTTCAAAAATACTTTCAATGCATTGGCATGCACTTAGTTCTCACACAGCCCCTGTGTACATCATTCCCACTGCCTCTGAAAGCACTGATGTCAGGTAACACTTCTCATTATAAAAGAGTGTGAACTCTTTGATCCTCTTTGTCAGCCAATGACGATTAGCTACACATCCTGGAGTCCCAGCAGGTTTGTTTTGGAGAAATGAAGATGCATATGGGGCTTGGGTAGATTTCATGCTTCTGAGACTTTACTGCTGAATGCTGCAGCAGAGCAATCTATTCAATGCAGTGGCAATCTTCACAGCCACATATGCAGCCCACTGACTATTTGTGCACAGATTTATTTATCTGCTACACCCCACCAACTCAAAAGAAGATTCTGAATTATCATTCATAGACCTTCTTTATGTATTCTTGAACTCATCGAGACTTGACTTGATGCCACATTTGCAGCCTTGAAGTAAGGGCTGATAGGAGTACCTGCTGCCTGCACAACTCGTTGTCCACTTGTATCCTCTCCACTTCCTTCAGACTCTCCTGCATTCGCTGGTTGCTTTGCCTGAGGTCACGGATGTAGTCACAAGCTTTTGAGAGGATGCCTCCTTTGCTCTGAGGAGAGACAGAATTGTGGTCACACAGCTGAAAGGCAGAAATCTGAAACGGCTGCAGTAAAAAGTCAAGTATGAAACGGCTTACTGCTCCAGTCTTGGTGCTGTCCATAGTGCAGTCAGGTATCATCTTGGAAAGCGTGACGATCCAGTTATTGATTTTGTCTCTTCGTCGCCTTTCAACTAATCAAATTCGACAGGAAATACAGCAGAAGATTTGAAAAAAAGAAAACATTCTAAGCTCCAGCCCTGTTCTATCCTATCATAATACTGAAGGTTGTTTTTGCTTGAAGAATTAAGATTTTTTTGGGGACAAATTTTAAAAGCTCAACTGTACCCTCTAGTGGCCATTTTAAAAATGTGTTGCAATCTGCTCTGTCATATTTTGAGAGGGGGCTTAGTGATTCTTTCTAAAGAGAAAACTGTTAAACACTCTAGTGCAATGCGCAGAACTGCCAGTGAAATGAAAAACCTCAAATCATCACTAACTACCAACCTTCATTATGTTGAGCTCGTCTTCTTTCATCTCGCGGCGTTCGAGGTCCATCCATTTTCCTGCAAAAATAAATAAATAAAATCAATAAAATATGTTTTTCCTCCTTCTTTTCTTTTAAACAGACTGTGGTACCTCCCATCTCTGAGCACCACAAAAATCAGGCTAACAGTAATCCTGTCCTCAAGATTCATCTATGTCTTACCCTATCATATGCAGCATTCATCAACATTATCTTGCTATTCAAGGCTAATAAACGTCCCATTTATAACAGGCCTCTTAGGTAGCCTATCGCTGAAACACCTCAGGATGAAAAGCAATGTAAGGCTAAGTGTGTAGCTGTAATGCAGCCACCTGCCGCCTGGCCAAAACAGACTGGCCAAAATTCTGCTGCCTGTTCTGTTCCCAGGAGGGGCCCAAACAGAGAACACTGATCTATTAGTGTGTAAAATTACCCAGAGAGCCGCGTTCTGCTGAACCTGGGTGTTTGGAGCCTAACATGGCTACCTTGTGTGTCTCTCCTACCTCTGGCCTCTGTTTAATGAACTCAGAGATATGACTAAAGAAGTCACATCCTCCTTTAGGGCTGGGTATCCTTTTTTAAGAAACGATTTGTTTCAGATTGTCAGGATTTAGAACAGTTTTTTTATCCTATCTGAAATTGAATTGTTAGTGTTAAAACATTGTGTTACTCAAATTAGATGGCTGTGTAGTTATGGGAAATCTGACACAAGTATGTTGAACAGTTAAACAGCAAATGAATAAAGTAATGATTGTTAATAGCAGCAAAGCAAAGTGGAAAAAACTTTTTTTTTTAATCTGTCTTCTTGATTCAGAATGGGAGAAACTTAATTTTTCTGTTTTTTTAAACACAGCCCTAATCCTTCTGTTATCATAGTAAGATATGAGTGTCTCCTAAAATGTTGTATGTATTATACTTTGCAAGTGTGCAATACAATCTCTCTCTGTTGCTTATAAACTATTCAGTAAAATGGCCTGAAGCAGGAAAATAAGCCCACGGCATCACATACAATCCACCATACTTAATGTGAGGAGACTATGAGGTATAATTCGTTTTTTAAATATCCTTTAATTTAAATCGATCCTACATGTTTGTTGCCAAATAGATCACAGTACCAAGAGTTTTGAAGACTGTTTACGTTCAGGTATTGTTTATATATTTTTTTTAATAGGTCAGAGATGTACATTTCTATAATGCATTCAAACAACTGTTGCCATTTAGAGCAGAAGAAGCCAGTCCTAACTGCAGCTTTTGAGGTTTTCTTTTTTACCCTTTCCCCCGCTTAGCATCCCGCTAATTGTCTGTGATGATGAGAGGAAAATGGGTCATCCTTGGTGGCTAAACAGAAGTGGACATCTTTGTCGCCTTATATATGTTCCCTAGGAAATCAGAAAGTATTGGATTACTAATTAAAAGTTCCTGCAAACTGTGATCAACTTGAAAAAATTAAGCTTAGATTAAATAGAAAAAAAGCACTTTATTTACACAGATTTTTAGGGATGCCGACGACTGTGCCTCAAGGAATTTTGTTTAAAATGTTTTTTCCTCAACATTTTTTTTTAACCCTGAATAAACCTACATAAATAAAGGTTGGAGCTTTTTAAAAATCTTCTGTAATGTTCAACTTTTGCATTTAAAGATCTATTTATTTTACTGCTTTTAACCGGGGATGCTATCAAGCATCTCCATTCTCTATAAATTGGACTTCCGCTGCAAAATAAATGCTTGTCAATGGTTCATTTCAAAAAGATTCGAAATCTGTATGAATAACTAGATGTGCTGAAGCAAGAAATATCCACTGCTCTCTTCTCTTTACTATACAGACACTCACTACATCTTCAACTACACAAACTAAGAAAACAAAAAAGAAACAAAGTTTTACTGCTGAATCAGTTTATCCAGATTTTTAGTTAAAAAACTTGAACATCTGTATAATGGTCAAGAAACTGATTGCTACTACCCCTGTTTTTCTAATTTTCTTTTTAAGCAACAGCCTTCTAAGTACAACAGTAAATCATAAGATGAGAGCCTCCAGACAACAGCTTAGGGACCTAACGATTGCAACGGGTGATTTAAGGGATCAGCCTTAAGCCGGTGATCACTAGTGATCGGTAATATGTAAAATATTACAGAAAAGCCAAACGTATATTTGAACTGATAATTTAACTGGTTCAATAAAATACAAAGCTTTTCCAACAGGGGTTAACAAAAGTAATCAATTATTGCTCACATATCTTTTCTCTTTCCACCAACTTCAAAAACTAGGCTAAAAAATAAAAGATAACAAAACTGCACTACAGCAAAGAAACACTTAAAAAAAAAAGCATGGAATGTGCATTTGTTTCCAGATGGAAAACAATGACCCAGTTTCAAGGTCCTAAAGGAAAAAATGTATTTGCCACAAGCACAACTAGCAACAATGGATCAGGGTCGGCATCGAACAAATTATCCGTGTCTCGTACATCAAGAGAACACCGGAGAATCACCAGGGAGTAGTGGATGAGAGGGGAGAGTCTTAGAGGCTTTGAGCTGCTTATTTTCTTGTGATCTTATTTGATTAGTTCATTTACTGTTTAAAAAGAAGAAAGAAAAAAAAGGGAGTGCGGGAGAAATGTGGAAACTGTCCTCACCAGTTTAAACCTTCATGTTGCAGCAGCTCGTTTTCATCTCTGCGAACGGCAAATAGGGTGGGAGGTTTTCATTCACTTTTTTCACATGTCAATCACACTGTTGGTTAGTTAGCACATATATATCCGCAACACTTTAAATGGATTACAGTTATTACTTAGGAGGTGATAAATAGGAACATACAAACTACAAACAGAAATCTCAGTGATGGAAATCAGATGATCTACAGTTGATTTACATAAACTCCAGCATGGTTTGCTCTTTAATCTTGGTGGAACAGCAGTGTGTTGATGCAGAAACAAAGCAGAGCTGCTGTCAGATTATCAGGCTGCTCGGCTTTCCAAGATGCCCACCAAGAAGGAGTTTGCATCTTTAAAACATCTAAAGTTCTTTGAAACGACTGAAACACAAAAACATGTTTATTCCATAGCACACACATAGCGACTGATGCTTATCATTTATAGCTCACATGGATTGTACAGTGAAATAATCAAACCCTTTGAACTTTTGTGGATTTTCAGACCCGAGTTTTAAACTGATAAACATAAATTTATACTAAAGAGTCAAGTGGGAGGAAAAAAATAAGTGTTTTTTTTTTAAACAGATCTGAAAAACAAACAGAGACTTCCTTTAGGTAATAATCTCTATATTAATCCAGCTGTTTTTTAAAGACCCAAGAGGTTTTAAGGAGCTCATTATTGAACAAATAACCATGGAGATGGAGCAACACATTAGAGAGGTCAGGAATAATGATGGGTGAAGTACAAAGGTGTCCACCTAAACTGATGGGCTGGTTAAGCAGCACACCAGTTAAAGAAGCATCCAAGAGGCCAGCGGCATCTCTGGGGGAGCTGCAGCATTTCACTTATAGTCCCAATTATAGCTGCTCACAAGCTCTGCAGAGGACACTGCAGAAATGTTGGGAAACACAATGATCTATATGTTTGGTGGAAAACTGAAATAATCATCAAAAATACATTATACAAACTGAGGAAGAAGGTAGTGGTAACTTCCTGCAGTGGGGCTCCTTTTCTTCAGCAGGAAATGAGAAGCTGGTCAGAATGATTGAAAAGATGATTGCAGCTAGATACCAGCCAATCATTGGAGCATGGAAAAGATTTGAGACTTTGGCAGAAGCTTTTTAAGCAGCACAACAATGCAAAATGTACAGCAATGGCTTTAATGCAGTGGTTGGGATCAAAGCAGAGTCATGTGTTATGATCAAATGCTGTGAAAAGCTGGTAGATATCCCATGAGCATCTGTAGTAACTGCAGTAAAATATGAATGTATTCAAAAAGCTTAAAAGAAAAGTATTTACTCTTTTCTTCTAATTCACATTTGTGTTTAACTATCACATAAACCCAACTTGAAAACTAGAGCAAATTCCTGTAACTTTTTAAACATGAACTCCCTTCACTTCTGTTCTTAAAGATAAAACAACCTGAAGTTTCACGTGTTACAGGTTAAAGCCAAATGGACAAAAACAAGAATATTTACTTAATTCGGAGCAAACCCAATTTGATAATGAGTCATGTGTTCAGTTTGTGACCCAGAGAACAAATGACTGTGAGCCGCCTTTGACCAAACGACAGAAAAAACACATACATAAAAAATAAATAAAGCTTCTGAAGATTCAAGAATCTCTCAATTCTCAGCACTACTTAACCAATGCCAATGTGTTCTTGGCAGACAGTGAAGATCCCGCTTTTAAGCAAGTATCTAAAGTAAGCCAGAAGCAGCCTGGTGTCATTTAACAGAAATGATGGACTCTGTTTGAGTTACGCTGCTTATAATCCTTGTGACTAAAAATACCAGCGTGTGGCTAACAGTTGGAGATGTTCTGAGATGGATCTCGTTTGATGTCTGATTATTGTTAACTGAGCTGCTTTCAGAGATAAACACGAGACTTAAACTCTGTAGGAAAAAAACTGATTAATGTGTGCCAAAACAGAGAGAAGAGAAGGAAGAAATCAGGCTAAATTATTGTGTTTAGTAAACATAAAAGTAACAGAAGTATAAAGAGGGAATAAATAAGGCTGAAACCTCTTTAAGTAGTCTAGATATTAATTCCCTTTTCTTTCTTTAAACCATATTCACTTCAATTAGAATAGAATCTACCTGGTCAGTCTAATTTCTCGACATTTAAGCTCAGAAACGTCCACTTTTCTACAGCCTTTCCCTAAATTAGTATCTGGGTTTATATAATTTAGCTTTCTTTGTTTATTTGATGTGACCACATCATCTGAAATGCACCATAGCCTGATGGATAAAGACTGCTGATTTACAAAGGAGCAACAATCAAGGTCTGCATATTTAGTGTAAAGTATCATCAAAACAATGAAAGCAATGCCTAATTTAAATGCTCCATGGCAAACTGGAAAACAGCCTTAAACACCAGGTATCAATCAATGAGTTCTTTAAAAGTAAAGAAGCTTCTGATGTTTCCTTATTTAAGGGGAGCAGACACTTACGTAGGGTAGGACTGCGCGCGTGGGGCGATGGTTCGCTGTGTGCCGGTCTGAATGACATCAGGGGGCGTCATCATCACATAAAACTGACCTGTATAAATTATACAATCACTTTTAATTAAGCAATGAGGATCAAGTTAATACACTTTATACAAGTTTTGAAAACACGACAAAATAGTTCCTGTTAAAAGAAAAAAAATTATAATAATTTAACGTTTGGGATTCAGGATCTCACAACATAAGATCATAATATTTCTTATTTGAATGAAGTCTGTGTCAAAGTGCCGCCTAGTTGCCTTCAGCTTGTAACTTGATCTAGTGAAGCAAATTTAAGCTGACATGAAGAGTACAGCCTGCGTTCAGCTTGACAACCTACTGTATTTGAGTAGGACGACTGATTTAACTGTTGCGCTTCTTGAATTGCACTGCTCTGTGGACAAAATTGACTGACAGACTGAACTTCAGGATGGCTGATGACACTCTGTGACATTAGCAAGAAAAAAGGCTTTCTGTGGCAATGATTTAAAACAAAAACCTATAAAGATCTACATGGGATAAACTATTTGAAAGCCTGGTCATCCATTGCAACTGGCTATCAATGCTGAACCTGACCCCTGCTTTATCGGTTCCTACTGATGCACAACTTCAACATAATTTCTTTAGAAAGCCAGTTTGATATTTATAAAGCCTTTATTCTTATTTTCAAAATATGAAATGGAAAATTTTTTTTGCCATTCAGACCACTATGGAATGGGACAAAACATACAACCTACACTAAACATAGACTTAATTATTTCACAGACTCTTTGAAATCTAGTTTTCGATTCATATATGTAATATTTCTGAAAATGGTTTGTATGTTAAACTGGGTGAAAAAAAAAATCAGTTTAGTCAACAAAATGATCCAAACACAAGTAACAAAAAGGTTTTTGTGAAACATTTATGACAACTTGATGTTAAAAATAACCAGCTATAATTCATGTGTAATACACAGCTAACAGCAGAGGAGTTTTTAAACTTCAATGGAACCGAATGTTAAGTTATGGGATATTTGTCAGAAAATCCACCTGTTTAAATAAACCTGAATTGGACTGAAACTCTCTGACTGAAACATTTTCATTCCAATCAGCTGTTTATTCCAATTATGTCAAAGTAAACATAGCTAGTGTTTTCCAATATCAGTCTAGAATAGCCTCTAGAACTATTATTTACATTAATTATCATGCACAAAAGGTGTTTGTGGCATTTATATTATTCAGCTTCCATTAGCACGTTACATCAAAGTAGTTTAAGTTCTATGGCTGCAGTAGACGATGTAATCTGTTAAGAGAGATTCATGGATGTGTTGCACAAGTCTAACAGGATACATTATCAGATGCTTGCAGGTAAGTGCTAAGATAACAGCTTTATCTGAGATAGAGCTTTTGAGTTTGCATTTTCAGGATGGGTTTGAGAAACCAATCGTTTAGTTTCCATTATCAACTTTGCAATAGACTAATCTTGTTTTAAAATCTTAAGCAAAATAATATTTAATGAGACCCTTTGAAAGAAGAGTTTTGGCAAAAAACTGCAAATTATACCTTAAACTAACCAGGGCTGGGTCTTCTATTCATGCAAAAATCGCCCTCTGCATCAAATCACTATTTAGGATATCTCACTCTCTTTTTATGGATGGAATAAATAACTTATGCTAATCATAAAACCGGACAGAAAGCCTGAAATTATTAGGCAGACTAAAACTGTACAAATCTTGTCAAATCAAAGTTTTAGAACTTTTTAAAACATAAATATAAAATATATGTACATGAATCCCATTTCAACTATTTACAAATAAAAATAAAATTACTGAAACAAAAAACAACAGTTCTGCTAGAATCAGTCCGGCCTTACTCTTTAACAGCTTGCTCACAGAATCTCAACCTGCCTGAAATCAAAGACCAAAAATGCAGATTTGTTGCACATAATAGAGCGTTTGGTCGCCTAGTTACTAATGTTTGGAAAACCTTCAAAGCAAAGAACAGGAACCCATATCAACCGATTTCCTCACACGCCTGATCTACAAAAGCACAACACAATCACACAAATGGTTAATACAGCACAATGTCAACATGTGACTGTGTGGATGAAGCTGGATGGCAGCATGTGATACAAACAAGCAGTGACTGAACTATAATAAAGGCTCACATGTTAGATGACACCACCTGTGGTTTATATATTGCGTTTATTTGCTCTATGAAATTATCCGATTCAAAAACGACGTGCCTCCTGCAGACACGTCTGATTGCGTTTAAGTTGGTTGAGGTTTTTCAGTCATGACAGGAAATATTTTACATCTTTCGTGGCAGTGGCTGATCCAGACAAAAACATGCTGTTAAAAGACTTTATGAAAATCAATGTTTAAAGCGTTTCTTTGCGTCTCGTCTTTGCTGCAAATAACGCTTTATTCACAGCATGGAACAACGATGACAACTAAGTTTGCATCTAAAGCTTTTATGCTTTATTATAAACTTGCAAGAGCTTTGGAGATAATGGCTTATTTAGATCTACTAGAGACGGGGATGTTGTTCTGGTGTACTTCTAATGATGCCTTTTTTGTCAAACTAATGGCTTAATTAGCCATGTTACAGTGTGTTGTGCCTCAGCCCAGTGCAGACTGAGAGTGGGACGTGACTCACCCCCTGCCTGTGTGAGGGTTGGATCTGCTGCGGCCTGCACCGACACAGTCCCGTCGCTCACCGCGGTTGCAGGAAAGTAAGCGAAGCGGGTCTCCCCTCCCACTGCCTCTCCTGCTGGGCTTCCTCCATTACTGAAAGGGTTTTGGATCACAGCCTGTGACAGATAAGAGAGAAACAGGGGAAAGGCATGAGCGAGTGGCAATGGAGCAGTCACAGCAGGTAAACGCACACCTCATTCTCTGTCAGACTCAATAGCGGCATCCCCCCCATATAGACGGCCGAGGAAGACAAGGAGCGGTGGGACGGCAGGGATAAAGAGAAAAAGGGAAGCGGCACAGATCTCGTTAGTGGTGATAACAAGGTCTGAGAAGCCAGTGGTGTACTGTGACTGAAATCAGGTTAGGAATACTGAGGCTACAAATGCATCATTGATCTTTCTAACTGTGGTACAACTTATTCTGATTCTAAAACACATTTTATCACATGTAAAACCATAAAAAAAACAGAAGAAATAAAATTAAAAAAGAAGTTTATTAAGTTTATTTAGAAATTATGACACTAATTATACTAATATGACTTTAACGATAAGCTTCTTGTTAATGTTTAAAAGTTCTAATTGTTTTTTGTTGTTTTTTTCCCCCTAGCCAATGCAGATTTCTCACTTTTACATTTAACCTCCCATTACACATTTTGACATACATTTTTCAAACGCATTTCACTAAAGCCCTACAGCATAAGAATACAATCTTTAAGGCTGTTTGATGAAATAATTTGTTTTTAATTCCAACAGAAAATTGGGCATTTGCAAGATGATCCCCATTAATGCAACCGTTATGTTCCTAAACCTTATTTCCCTTACACTGAACTCAGAAAGAAAAGCATCAAAGAGAATGCTGCTGTTCACTTTATTTAGAAAGAATCGATGCAGAGTCCCCATTTTTAATGATAATTTTGAATCCCTATACTACAGATTACACTGCACTCTTTTTTTAAGCCCTGTTTATAGATTGCTAAACAGAAGCACAGCTGTAGCATGTAAAAATGCATGAATGGAGGATCAGAAGGGGTCAGTGGGTTAATTGCATAGGGAATGGACCCCTCCCTTATTTCTGTTACTCCATATGCAGCTCATTCAACAAGTAGCAGAGAGTCGTCATACTGAACTCCCTGTTGGCAAATATAGCTGAACAAAAGGGAACTAAGCACCTCTGTGATCGACTTGGATAAAATTGCTAAAATAACTGATTTCCAGTGGGTTTCAGAGACTGTAGTCATACGTTAGCTCAGGGGAATTCTACTCATTTTTACATCATTAAGCGGAATAAAGGTAGTACTCAACATTTATCATTTATTCATGAGAAAACGTTTTAAAAAAACTTCAGGAAAAAAAATATCTTTTTTTAATTATTGATTTTTTTCCTGTAAATAATCTGAATATAAACCACTACATTCCTCCACTGTTTATCACCATCTTAAAAAGATTTTAATGTTGGCTCAAAATCCCCCCTTACTGCTGGGAAGTGAGTGACTGGGGTAATATATGTTGTTAACCTGAGATCTTCAATCACTTTCTTTTCTGGGCTTAACTTAGACTTAAGGTGTGATTTCGTAGATCCTAGATACAAGCAAAATGAGCTTCTTTCAGAGAAGGTCCAGATTCAGCCTTGGAGAGAGCCAACAAAGCCTCAACATCTCTTGGGTGCTAAGGGTAAATCCACTGCTTATCAGCATTGAAAGAGTGCGGGGACGGTTTGAGCATCTGATCAGAACGCCTTCCAGGCACGGAGCTTTGGAGATTTTCCAGACACATCCCACTAAAGGGAGTCCCTAGGACCGACCCAGAACTTTACTGGAAGTGCTACATATCCCCTCCTGCCTGGGGACACTAAAATAAACAAAAGTGTCTGGGTTACCCCAGTGACCCACAGATGGCTGACCTGCAGGATGCTGCATTTGCAATCATTGTTTGTTTTTTAACACCATCATAACTCTTTAGATTGTTGAGCTCAATAATTGCACCTGTCTCTGAACACACAATACAAAAAGCCAGAAAATATATCACCTCTCTTTTCTCCTTTTAAGACAATCTCAGATTTTATTCACCAACTTTTTCAAATACTTTCCATGATTTAAACAAGTCCCAAATCCTAACAAATGACCGATCAGACAACCATGCGCTTTTAATATGACTAGTAGACACAAAGACTGTACACAAAGAGGTAGGGAAATCCCAAAACAACATTTTCCTTCCTAATTCAACAACAATACTGTAGCTCTGAGTATGGACCAATACAGATATCGAAAGGGATACAATATCAGTTCCAACAACACATATTTTAATCACTCGTTTTCTTAGTGTGGAATGTTAGAAAAGCCTTAATGAAGTGATATTACTGAAACAGAGAACAATAGTTAACATCAGCAGGTATGAGAACCATTGACTCGTTTACTTTTAACCAATGAGTCTCATCAACTTAAAATGAAAAATGGATTCCTATCAGCCTGCTTATATCTGAGAATTAAGATGCAGACCAATAAAGTTCCAATATCCATTTTTTGGCTGATATCGGACCAAATTCCATTATGAATATCGGATCAGGACATCCATACATAGAGAACAGTTAGATTGAGGAATTGGTTTTAGTTTTTTGTTGGGAATAAAATGAGGAATAATAACCGGTTCCAATCAACATAAAGGAAACGTATCCATTTAAATCCCTACATAAAACCAGTGAGCTCTGCTCAGTGAAGAAAATGACTGGTACCTGAGCCACAGCCTGAGGCGCCCCAGCAAAAGCGGCAGTGGAGACCACGCTCACCGCTCCTCCTGAATCATCTCTTCCATCAACGTGCTGGTCAGTCACCTGAACAACCCGGTACGTCACCTTTAGGACAAAAACAGATATGAGAAAAGTAGAGCGATTAGAACAGAGATGTCATGCAATATTTATCGCGTTTCAGGTGTGCTAACCGCAGATTAAAAAAAAAACCTCACCTGGCTCGCAGCTTTGTTTATCATATTGGTTTCTTTAGGTTAGCCAAGTACGGTATGTGAGATCCTTGTTCAAACCTTAGCAGTAAATGGATCTCACCATCCCACACAATGTGCTTATGCTGCAGAATGTGCCTGATTTAATTTTAAAGTAAGCAGTGAAGAAAATGAGCTTGTTTGTTCCAAGAATCCCTATTTGTAACCCTCCATCATGTGACTGTCCTGCTGACTGACATGTGACAGTTACCCCATGCCAATCCCAGACCAGACTGCAATCACATGACTGCTCACATTGGACCTGTTTACGCCAAATGAGCCACATGGATCACTGACTTAATTCTCTCCAGTGCAGAAGAAAAAAAAAAGAAAAACACACATACAAAAACCCATATCATCCACGATATAAAAACAAAACAGAAACAAACCCTCTTCAATGTGACAATGCTCTTCATGTCAAGTTTACTAACTGCTCTGACCATCTCATGGTTAGTCACAGAGAAGTTAACAGATGCATATTAGTGGATAGAAACAAACTTAAGAAAGCCAGGAAAAGAAAACCATATTTATTCTCGTTCCAGGCCAATTAGCCGCTAACCCGCCTGACTTGGGGATATGAGACATAAACAGCAGATATTGACTGATTAGACAGGTTTGTTATGAGAAATTCTCATTACTTGATTAACCAGCCATACATTTCTTGTTGCAGAAGAGGCTGCAACCAAAACCATTTCCTCTACAGTAAGATTACTCTTGGATAAATCATAAATATACAGTGCCGGTTTCCTTTTTAAACTTGCCTACGGATTCTTTAGCTTACATAGGCCTTTTGTTCTCCTTTTACATAAGGGAATGATTTAGGATTGGGAGGTTCCAGGTCACGAGAATCTTCTGAGACCTCAAATGGTTCGGTCTTTCACGATGCTTAAAATTTTAACTTAGCTATTAGTTCAAGCTTTCATTCAGGAAAATTGATTTTTTTATGGTAAATAGATGTGAAGTAAATATATTTGTATTCTAGGTTTTCTTAAGCTCTGCAGTCATGTGGAGAAGTGAAACAGATGTCCAAGAGAAGCTTTTTTTTCCGTTATAATGTCCCAGCTCTTCCGTGATCTATTCTGCCGCCAAAGGGTGGTCAAGTTAATAATCAAATGCATTTTCTACATAACGTAGATTAAATCAGGAGTCATTTAAAGTTAGCCCATTCTGTTTAAAACAGGTCTATACATTTCGGTTTTAAGAAGCAAACAAAATCATTCAATTTTTCACTAAACTGTCTATAATTTATCCCTTTCTGCATCACTCCTAACAGAATTCTCCAAAGGCACACCATATGTGCACATACACAAATGAATGCACTCTAATGCCAGAGATTAAACACTTCCACAGGAAGAAAGATGTAAGATGTCGCAGCAAAACCAATTAATACGGCTGGACGATCTGACCAAACCTGATTTCATGATACATTTATTAACTTTAGAGGATGGGATATACTTTTAATCAATATCAATATAAAAAGTTCTGCCAAGAATTCCCAAAAGAAAAGCCTGTAACCACCAGAAACAAAATCAATCATAGATTATAATGTATATTAAAATATTGGCAATGTCATATTATTACTGAATAAAGCTTTTTTGAGATATATATCAAGACTGAGTTACTGTCTACTCCAACATCTAAAAAATTAAATAATTTATTTTCCAATGCCCCATGGGCCGTGAAGACAACAGCACTTCAACTGCCGTTATCAAAAGAAACATAAAAATCATGATTTCTTTAGGTGCCTGCGTTGATTAGTAATAATTTTTTGCACAAGTCTGCTGCATTCAACCCGATCAAAGCAATAACTTATCCCAAAAAAAAAAAAAAACAAGAATTGATTTGAAAGAGGCATCATGTTAGCTTTTACTTAAAAATATCCTTTTTAGGGCTGAAACACTTAATCGGATTAATCGTGATTACTCGATTTTTGATAATTGTTAACTAATTTAGTAATTGACTAATCGTTAACTTAAGTGTAGAGACTTTTAAACTTGCCTTTAGCTGACAGATTAACTCACCTTTAGCACCAATTATATTAAGATTGTGAAAGAAACATGTCAAAATTTTGCATTTTTGAGGGGAGCGTTGGCCTAGTGGTTAGAGAAGTGTGCTTGTGCTCTGAGAAGGTTGCAAGCACCCAGTTTGATCCCCACAGGCTCCACTTTGGGTCCCTGAGTAAGACCCTTAACCCCCCACTGCTCTTTAAGGGGATGGGTTAAATGCAGAGAGTTAATTTCTCCGCTGTGAGATCAATAAAGTTCAATGTTCTAATTTTTTTTTTTAATGGACCAATTCACATAAGTGTGTCCCAGTTATTATGACTATTCTATCCTTTGCTCTGAATTACGCTCTCCTTGCCAAGCTTACTAGTTTAGATTAGGGTTGTCAAAAGTATCGATACTCAAAAAAGTATCGATACTGAAACGTTGTATCCGGATACAATACTCGTTTTTAAAAGTATTGATACAGTGCTACCACCAGTGGCACCTAAGCAGTCATTCATCTAAAGTACAGAATAGAGGAAAATGCCCTTTCTGAACACTGTGATTGAATAATTCTGTGCACTTTTCAGTTTCAGACTTTTTTTTGTAAGAGGTGCAGCTGCTGAGAATTAGTTTTGTTTCTTAACCGGTATGGCTAGTGTCATTGTTATGTGTGCAAAGCATAGCCAATGAAGGAACACTTAATTTTAATTTTATAAGTTTTTTATCAAGCTTGCTAAATATTGTGCACAGCATACAACCTTTATTGTATTTATTTATTGTATTTTATTTATTAATGAAAATATTTCTGTAGAAATTTTGTTTTTATCCTTGTGGTATCGAGTATCGAATACTTTCCTTAGTATTGGTATCGAGTTGAAAAGTTTAGTATCGTGACAACCCTAGTTTAGATTGAGGACAATGTCTTGGAAGGCCTGAATGTTTGCTATATTTTTTTATTAAAATGGATTAAACAGTAAAAGGCTTTTAAAATAACCCTGCCTAAAAACATTAAAGATCTTTATCAACAAACGTAATGACCATGTTTATCCACTAATACTTTCTGGTGAATCTCAATGGGCCTGGTAATAACTGCTGTATACAAACTCATATCAAAATACACAACAATGCCATCCAATTTCAGTTATACTTGTTCTAAAGATTGTTGAAAGTATTGCCGATTCTCAATTCACAAGAACGCGAGTACGGACTCGTGTCCTTACCAAGTATGTTCTTGAGAAGAACACAGGAAAGTCTGGACTCGGGGACAACGGGAGCACGCAGCATAAATATAGGTCAATTTGAACAGAAGCGTACTCATGACGTCAACACCTGCCCGGCTCGTCTGCAGCTACATTTCACCTCTTGTTATTAATAATCTTTAGAAAATTATAAATTCTTACCATTTTCATTTAATGGGGTAATAATATTGAACAGAGGCAGATAAACACAAATCAAATGAACATTTTGCGAAATAAAACAAAAAACTCTGCATCAGAGCTAGCGGTTCTTTACACACGGCTACACTGAGAGGGCTGCTGCAGAGAGGCTGTGGTTAGCGCTGGCTGCTGTTGCCCTCGGAGGTCCGCTGGTTGCCATGGTCCTCTTAACTTCAGAAATGTTTTTTTTTTTTTTTTTTTTTTTTATTTTGGTTTATTTCTGTTATTGGGCTGCTTAGCGGTGTTTTGTTGTATCCTGTTCTTGTCTTAAATTATCTTTTAATTTACTTTTATTGAGCGACCTTTTCAGTTTGAATGGTTTTCTCTTTTGATGGCGGCTTCTGTTGGTGTGCGTTGTTGGCACGGTGTCTGTTTGGAGAGCTGTCAATTTTGTTCTTGTGCATGCTGGGTGAAGAGGGAGGGGCGAGAACAACATTGGAGGACTTTGTCTGTTCTCGTTTTGTGTTTTTTTTGATTTGGACCGTTCTTGGGCTTGGGGTTGTTGCTTTTTTAGGGTTCCTTGGGCCCTTGGGACCTTCCAGTTCCCCTTTTTGAGAAACTGCCTATTTTTATTCAGGAATATCATGGTAAAGAGGACTGGAAACAAATTCAACACACGCTTGTTACAAACCCTTTATCATTTTCTCTTAAAAGCACATGATGCATATGCCACCATATGCATCAAGGTGCATCAATGCTGCAGTGTGATCCATTGATCTATAAGTTTCTTACCTGCCCCCCCTCTGTGCGGAACTGATATTGGATGTTCTGGTCTCCGAATGCTGCAGCCTGTTGAACACTGGCTATTGTTACAGCCGTCTGCTCTTCTCCTGCTGCTTTTTGCAGGGGATAAAAAAAAAACAAAGAAAAAACACAAGATAGTATAAGAAAAGGAAGAAAAAAAAACTACAAAGGAGGTATCAAGGTTATAGTAACATTGATCCATGTATTATTATGCAAGGTAAGGGATAAAATGTTTCCATTTTCTATCTTCAGTTTCAGCCAAACAGGCTTATCTTATATTTTTTCACCTCAGTCAGGATTTCCAAACAGATTTCCATTTAATAAATGAATGAAGGGAAGTTTTCAAAAGAAATACTTTATCACCGAGTTTAAATGTAATATGTTATATGGCAGAATTAAAATGTTATTTTAATTATATAAGAAAACCAGATATAATGATAATCTGGCCTTGAAGACTTCAGAATGGCCGATTAGTAGAAATGTAGATGTATTGTGAGGCATCAAACCAAAACACACCTTAATTATGTGGCCAAAAAAAACAAAAACAAATCTGCCAATATACAAATAAATGATTTGTGGACAAGTCTAATCGTCCTTGTGTGAAATTTCAAGATGCCTGCTAGATCAATCTCTCCATAGAAGTATTCATACTGTTCAATAAGGAGATTTGTCTCTTAGAGATGTGTGTTGGAGGTTGTTTTGGGTGAAATATGTTTATCAACCCCTAAACAAAAACAAGACCTTGTAAAGATGCTTGTGGAATCCAGAGAGGGAGTTTCTGAAGGTGTGAAATAAGATAAATTTTCTTTCGATTTATTTCATCTTTGACATACATAACTTTTACAGCAAGCCAAACAAATTCTCACCCTCAGATGTCTGGACAACCTCTTCTTCTTGCTTTTCTTGGCTGCAATTTGAATGCAAAAACAACTTCAGAAACTACGAAACGCTTAAAATGCTTTAATGATCAAACAAACATCATAAAATGACCCTCAGCTTCTCTCAAACCAAACCGAGCCAAGATTTCCGCAAACCAACAATGTTATTTTAAAGAAAACCCCATCCTCACTGCGGTTTCTGTGTTTACCTCAACTGCTGACAACAATATTTTGTATTTTAACAGTTAGCTTAAGCTATCTTAGCTGCTGAAATGTTATTAGCTAATCGATGCATTCTCATTAAGTATCCTTAAGTGTCACGTGAGATGTCGTCTGTTTTAAAAGTCATTCACTTTAGTTGCTAACTCTCATATTCAAACTCTTTTTGACAGCAGTTTATCGGATCAGGCCTCGCTAAGCGCTCTAAACTAGCTTTGCTAAATAGCATGTAGTTGCTAGCTTGCCTCTGTTAGCCATTTTGACAGAGCTCCGCTCACCTTGCAGTGTCCAGACTTTGTTCGAGCATATCCATCAGGGTGAAAATAAAAAGTGATATTCGCTGTCACAGACGGAGATGGGAGTGCTGATCACGGGAACAAACACTGGGGTCATGTGAGAGAGACGGCCCAGGACACGTGAGGTGCGACTCGGTGTCGGAGTTAAAATGGAGGCCGCAGAATCTGCTGTGGCTGAGACTGAGCAGAGGAGACTCCACTGTGCTGCGAAGAAAAGCAGCCCGGAGGGTTTAATCTGCGCTTTCGTTTTCATTTATCAATGTCACAGAAATACAGAAGAGGATTAGGGTCACTAAGAAAAAAATAAAATAAAAAGTTAACTGATTTTTACATTTTATTTCAGTATTTGAGAAAAAATTCAGAATTCTGGCTTTTCAGAATTCTGATTTGAATCTCACATTTCTGATTTTTGTTTCCTCAGAATTCTGACTGTTTAAACAAAATTCTGACTTTAATCTCACAATTCTGACTTTTTCCTCAAAATTCTGCCTTTAAACCCATAATTGTGGCTTTTTTCTCACAATTCTGACTTTAATCTCAGAATTCTGACTTTTTTTCTCAAAATTCTGACTTTTTTTTCTCAGAATTCTGGCTTTTTTCTCACAATTCTGACTTTTTTCTCCGAATTCTGACTTTAATCTCAGAATTCTGACTTAAATCTCAGAATTTTGGATCTTAATGTAGATGGGCACCATGAAGGAAGAGATGTGAGAGCACTCAGCTTCACTGACAAAGATGTGGGTTGTTTGGGAGGGCCAGTAACACATTGGTGGAAAAATTATGGAATTAGGTGACTTTTTACATGCCCAAGGGGTCCCATGTGAAGCTATACCATTAAAGGAAGAGCAGAAGGTGATTAAAACAAGAGAAAGTCTTTAAAACGGACATGGCTATGGCTTGATGCTAACATGTTAGCTGTCAGACTTCTGAGATTAAAGTCATAATTCTGAATTTTTTCTTGTATTATACTGAAATAAAATGTAAAAATCAGTTATCTTTCTTTTTTTTTTCCTGTGGCCCTAATCCTCTTCCGTAAAGATAGGCTTATCCGGAAAGCAAAAAAATAAAATTATAATTAAATTAATTAAATAATAAAAAAAGACACATTTATTAGAGAAAAAAACAATAGAATAGAAGAGAACAGAACAGAAATGTATTGATCTCACAATGGAGAAATTCGGCTCTTATAAACAACAGAAGGCGCACAAAGGAGGAAAAGATGCTTGAAGTATATTCAATGCATCCAATACATACATTGTTCCAGTATATTTGAATCAGATACATATATCTCGTTTTAATTGTTTCTAATTTAACTTCCATCACAGTGAATCTAATCATGAACTTTGCCCTACATAAAGCGGAACCTTTCTTCTTTTTGTTTCCTTAACAACATATATGAATGAGCACCGCAAAAAATGTTCGATGAACTTTTAGTATTTATTTTTAATAGCGCGCATTGCCAAATTATTCCCCTTACAAAAGTAAAATATATCGCTGTATTATTAATCCAAGAGTGAATTATTTTGCAGCACTGTTCTGATTAATTTAGCAACATCTGTCATCGAATTTTAGCCAATCAGCACCAAAGACGTAGTTCAGTAGGTGCCTGTGATTGGCTGAAATGGTAGGCGGTGTCTTAATGTCTGGTTGTTTCACCCTCAAAAAATTCCGACTCGTCCTCCTTGGTTGAAGGTTCACTGCGGTGACTGTGTTGGTGGCAGTTTGTGATCTTTAAGCGTTTTAAATCACAATGCCGGGCCGTGTTCTTGTCGGAGTAAAGCGTGTCATCGATTATGCAGTTAAGGTAAGCCATAGTTTTCTATTTTAAGCTGATAAAATTTCCTTTAATTGTATTTTGAGTGGTTTATTCATGGGCTGCTGGCTTTTAAAGCTAATATTAGCCGACTGTTCATACATTTTATACGTTTAACTTATAATGTGCTGTAAAGGTCATATGCTCAATGTGATTGCAACACACTTTACATTGATTAAAGACGCAGCAACGCTCTTCAGGTTCATTTTTTCTTTGTTGTTGTGTAACCTTTGCCTGGCTGTATGGTTGGTCTTCACAGGCTGTAGTCTTTAGTTTTTTTTTTAAATATACAGCCACTAAGAAAATACTAGTGTTATACAGGGGTGTCAAGTATTAATAGAATATTGTTGTATTGTTTATTAATCTTTTTCCTGGAGTCTGATCAGTTGAGCAAAGCCAAAATGTACTATCAGTTACATGAAGTTCATACAGGAACACTCCTGTCTCAGCTGCCCCCAACAGGATCTCTGCAGTATATTTGCACCTGCGAGCACTGGATCTGTGCAGATGGACTAGACGATCAAATATGTGTGGAAAATGCACTTAGGTTTAATTTTCTTGCTTTAGCATGAAACCATTATTTGCTAGTACATTGAAATTGTAATACCCAAAATAGAAATTGTGTTTTGTTCCATGCAACTTACATTTGTACCAAACAATATACAAGGTTCTATAGCACCTCAGCCAAAGCTACAGAATATCAAGCAAAGGTATTTTAATCAGAATTTCTGAGTATCTATATGGCTATTAGTACTGCTAGTAGTAATATTAGTAAGTACTGCTTGGATTGCAACAAACAAATGTCCAAGTATTCAGGCACTATGCATTCAGGCCCTCTGTCATATTTGATGCCACTTGCCTTTTATTGCAGCACAGGTATGTCTTAGAATATAGATAATTTAATTTTATTGATCTCACATTGGAGAAATTTACCTCTGCATTTAACCCATCCTTTTGGGCATTGGGCTGCCATTGTGCGACCCCTAGGGAGAGTTAGGCCTTTTTTTTTTAACATACAGGTGGTAAAATCAAGGCTGCAACTAAGATGTTTTGTTATCAAAAAAAAGTAAACGTTGGCTAAAATAACTGCATGAATTCAGATAACAGATTTGGCCTATTCCACTTTAGTCTTGGGTATTGTAAACAACAACATAAGTGTTTTTTTGTTTTTTTTCAACTCTGCATAATTTACAATAAAAATCTAATAGTAAACTAAATATCCAAACGCTACAGAGCTACTTTTCTGCATAGCTGAGAATGTTTAAATACAATAATGTCCTTCAGATCATGGAACAAAGGTATAAATGAAGCCAAACTATGCATAGTTATGGCATACCTGATGTAGTCCATTAAATGGTAGGTTATCTATTACTGAGCAGGGTGGGCAAAAACAACTTCTTGGTATAAAAGTACTCTATATTTATCTAGATATTAATATTTTTCCCCTGCAACGTCTTTCTAAAATAACAATAGTGTTCATCTTAATACTTCAGAGAACAAAGCTCCTATTTGCTGTTGCATGTTGCAGTCCAATGCATAAACATTAAGAAGCTATTCTATTGTAATCAGTCACTTATTATTTAGTTGAGGTCTATAAATCATGGAGCTCAAGGTGCAGATGTGAATTCTTCCGTTTTCTGCTTGAGCAAATGAAAGTAGATTTGGTGGATTTCTCCTGCTACCTGGCTGCCCTTCAGTCACTCTCCTCTGGTTTGTTTCTCTTCAGATTCGTGTAAAGCCCGACAACAGTGGCGTGGTGACGGATGGCGTGAAGCACTCGATGAACCCCTTCTGTGAGATCGCTGTGGAGGAAGCAGTCAAACTGAAGGAAAAGAAGCTCATTAAGGAGGTTGTGGCTGTCAGCTGTGGGCCACAGCAATCACAGGTGATTAAAAAAAAAAAAAACTTCATCCATCCTGAACACAACCTCTACCTCACTATATTGTATCAGAATTTTAAGCATCAGACCAATAGAACCTGGTGCAAATTGGTGAAATTAAAGAGAAAGTGACATAGGGGTCCTGCACACATTGAGTGAGGATGGCTGCAAGGCAACTGTTTT